CCCGTTCCCGGCGATCCCCGTCACCCTCGGGCACTGTCACCCCGTTCCCGGCGGTCCCCCTCACCCCCAGCACTGTCACCCTGTTCCCAGCGGTCCTTGTCACCCCCGGGCGCTGTCATCCCCCTCTCCCAGTGGTCCCCATCACCCTGGACACTGTCACCCCCCCGGCTGTCCCCATCACCCCCCCCGAGCCGTGACTCACACCGTGCAGCCGTCACCCTCTGACCCACGCTCTGGCTGTGTCCCCCCTCCCCGGAAAGCACAGCCTGTGACCCACAGGCGCTCTGCCTGTCCGTCCACACCCCCAGCCATGGTGACACCGTCCCGGGGGGGGACGGGGACGACAGACACACACACACACCACAGCAGGTGCCACTGGCATAGATTTGCCTGAAGCTTTTCAGCCCTCCCTGGGGGGGGCCAAGAATAGCTGAGGCAGGGCTGCGGTGCGTGTCCCGGCACAGAGGGACAGGGTGACTCCCCGGGGACGGTGACACCCCACCGCCCGAGCCACCAAACCGGATCACAGCTGTAACGGCCAGTGCCGAGCCAGGTGCGAGAAAACCGGTGCCGGAGGCAGACACAACTCTATAGCAGCCATCAGAGAGTCTACACTGCTTTTTGTTTTCTTCCTTGCCCCCACAGCCTGGGGATTTCCTTGCCCCACAGCGGGGGGGGGGGTGACCAGGGAGGGGGAGAACAACTCAGGGTCCAGCCCTGCCCAGGCTGGGGTTGTGCAGGACGAAGTGGCACAGCCCCGGCAGTCGTTGGTGGCCCAGCTCCTCCTGCAGCCGCTGCATGGGCAGGTTGCCCGTGGCCGTGTGCCCGAAAGTGGGGAAGCCACGGGCTTGTGCCCGACGGGCGGCGAGGACTATCGCCGCCTGCATGTGGCCGCGGCGGCGATGGGTGGGTAGGGTGTAGCCGTGGGCCCCCGTCCCAAAGGGATCGGTCAGGACCCAGCAGACGGGCTGACCGGTCCCATCCTGCAGGCAGATGCTGGGAAAGCGACTCAGCACCTCCGCCAAGTACCGCCGGCTGCGCGCGTTGCCCCCGTACGTCCACGTCTCGTTCAGCAGATCCACGTGGGCCGGGCTCACTGAACCCACCCGTACGTCGGGGTCCAGCCTGCAGCGAGGGTCAGCCGGCAGAGGGGGGTTGGAGGGGGTTGCCCACACCGGACCGGGGTTGGGGGGGACACGACGGACGGGGACTCACCGGGGTTCGGGCATGGTGCTGGGATCGGGGTGCATGTAGGTGTAGTAATCGGAGGTCTCCAGCTCGATCCCCTTGGTCCCCGCGATGGCCTGTGACACCGTGGCCACCCCCTCCTGCAGCCCTGGGGACAGTGCTGTCAGGTCCCGGCACCACCATTCCTGTCCCCGGCCCCCCCTCTTTCTGACACCAGCACGCCGGCTTGTGCCCTCCCCAGTGTCCCCAGGGGCTACCCGTAACCCCAGTCTCTATCCCCAGTAGCTCAATCCCTGCCCCCAGTGTGCCCAGCACCCCAAGTCCAGCCCCAATACTTCCCAGTGACAGCACTCATCAAACCCCTACCCCCAGTGCCCACCCCAGCGCACCAAGTCGTGCCCCCAGCACCCAAATGCCTGCCCCCAGTGTCCCCCAGCACCCCCAATTCCTTCCACCAGTACCCCCCGGTCCCTTCAGTTCCTTATCCCTATACCACCAGTGATTCTTCCCAGTGTACCACCCTCCCAGTGCTGCCCAGTACCCCTGATTCCCACCCAGCACCACTCCCGCAGCGTTGCCCAGCATCTCCCTGATGCCCCCCCCCACACCCAGGACCCCCCAAGTCCCCGGGCCACCGAAGATGTGGAAGGCGGTGTCCCAGCGCAGGCAGCCGGGGGTCTCCAGCAGCGCCCGGTAGGCACCCACATCCCGGTAGAAAGCCCCATGCATGTTCCTGTAGCAGTCATCCACCGGCATCTGCGAGGCACCCACGGGTGCTCTGAGCCCACCCGGCACGTGCCGAGGGCACCGTACCCACCCCCGTGGCCCTCCCCACCCACGGCCACGGCCCCACATCGCCGCCGGCCACCTCTCCGCTCTGCCGCGCCAGCACGGCGCCGAAATCGGGCCACGAGTCCACCACGACCTCGAACTTCCCCGGGTTCCCCCGGTTTATGTTCATCACCGCCCCGTAGACCTGCGGGTAAAAGGGTC